TGAGACTAAGAACCTCCTCAAGGAGCGGAACAAAGTACGGCCGCGGCCGCGCAGCGCCTCCAGAGCCAGCAGGCACAGCACCAGCACCCCCAGTGGCAGCACCAGCACCAGCAGTAGCAGCAGAACCTCCAGCTCCAGCAGCACGGCTCCAGCGCCGAGCAAACCACTCGCGCAGCTCCTGTGGAGAGGGCAGCTCCCGCCGGGACGAAGCACCCGAGGGACCTCCAGACCCAGCACCGCCAGACTCCACACGAGCAGGCTCAGCACCCTCAGGCTCCGCACCCCCTGGCTCAGCACCCCCAGACTCAGCACCCCCAGGCTCAGCACCCCCAGGCTCAGCACCCCCAGACCCCGCACCCGCAGGCTCAGCACCCCTAGCAGCACCAGAGTCAACAGCTACCTCGACAGGCTCGACTGCGTCTACCTGAGACACACCTGAGGGGGCAGGACCCTGAGAGGGAAGGGGGTCTACCGGGGGGGAACCTGGCGCGAGGAAGAGCGGCGGCGGGGGGAGGGGCGCAGTGCGGTAGGGGAAGAGACGGTAGTAAGGAACTGACTCGTCAAACGTGACGTCCTGGGAGGACAGAACACGGCGCGAGGTGGGGTGGTAAAACTGCCAACCAGGCGTGTCAGGGGGGAAGCCAAGGAAGACGCAGGGAACAGCACGGGGGGACAGCTTGTCCGCAGACAAGTCGCGGACAAACGCCCGAGATCCCCAGACACGAAACGCAGACGCATCGCCAACCTTCCCCGTCCACCGCAGAGTAGGGGAGGTCTCCGGCAAGGAGACCCGGGGCTGAAGGTTGATCTGATGCGCCGCGTACTGAACCGCGAACGGCCACAGAAAATGGGGAGCAGCCGCATGGATCATGGACGTACGAGCGACGTCCATGACCATGCCAATGCGGCGCTCAGCAATCCCATTTTGCTGTGGAGAGGCTGGAAGCGTGAACGTCTAGCGGATGCCCTGTGCACGACAGAAGGCTCGCAGAAGGTCCGAGGAAAACTCTCCGCCTCTGTCGGAGTGCAGACGCAGAACAGGAAAGTCCGAGCCGAAACTCTCTCTGAGCTGGAGACGAGCTGCGCGGATCCAGTCGATCAACACCTCAGTGACCTCACCCTTGCTGCGCAAGGGGAAGACTGTGGTGTAACGCGAGTAGTCGTCAACGACCAGCAGGAAGTAACGCTCGTGACCCTGTCCACGGACGCGGGCGGGGCCCCACACGTCCAGGTGAAGTGTCTGCAGCGGAGCCTCTGTCGGAGGAAACTCGGAGGAGTGAGGAGCGGCGCGCTGCCGCCCCTCGACGCAGGGAACGCAGGTAGGGGCAGGCCCCGGAGGAAGAGGAGGGAGGGACCGGGGGAGACCAGAGACAAGGACACGGGAGGCCATGCCTCGGAAACGAGGCAGGGAGGGGTGACCAAGGCGGTGGTGCCAGAGGAGAGTCTGGTGAGACAGGAGACGACACGAGCAGGGGGCAGACTCAGGACCAGACCTGGACGCTGCAGCAAACACCTGACCCGACGCAGCTACCTGACCAGACGCAGCAACCGGAGGAGACTCAGTAGTCAGTGTGTACAGGCTCGACCCCGGCTGACGGGTAAACGTGGCTAAGTGTTGGCCCGTCCGAGCACACGTGCAGTGGGTCACCCGCTGACTCGCAGGAGTGAACTGGTCAACCCCCCCATCCTGTAGATCAGCACCACTCACCAAGTTCGTAGAGAACGAGGGGAGGTAAAGACCTGACAGGGTGCCAGAAGGGGCCGCCGGACACGGTAAGACAGTGGAGAAGTGGGCAAGGACAGGACCCCCAGAGGGGTCTGCCAGGGAGACCGCAACTGGCCGACTAAGCGGCGTGAGTGTGGTGCGGTCTCGAAAGAAGGAGCGGGAAGCACCCGAGTCAAGGGTGAAGGTGTGTAAGGCCTAAGCCGACGTGGTACTTGAGAGAGCAGACTCACTAGCACCGGGGGAGCTCACCAGCACCTGGAGCAGCAGACGCACTAGCACCTAGAGCAACTGCCTCACCAGCACCTAGAGCAGCAGTCTCAATGCCCGGGTCAGGCGGAACACACAGGTAACAGTCACCCTCATCACTAGTAGGCAATGCATACATGGCTGTGAGGATAGCATCATAGTCAAGAGTATAGATATCTACCCTCAGCCTAAGCAGCTCCACCCAGTCGGGGAGCTCAGCCGCGTCGCCAAACTCCGTACGCCAGGCGTCGCTCAGACGGGCGAAGCAGCGGGACTCTGCGTGACCAAACGTCCCGCAAGGCTGACCAGTCCGAGCACCAGTGCGAATGACGTACGGACAGCGAGTAGTACCCCGTGACCCTCCACGCTGAGCGTACCACTCACGAAGCTGCTGGGGCGAAAGGACCGCGCACGGACGACCCCGCAGCTGCACCTGGCCACTACAAGCAGCTGCCGAACTACTCACTCTAGGACGACTCCCACTACGGCCACCTCGACAACCCCAAGTAGCGTACCACTCACGAAGCTACTGGGGCGTGAGGGACTCACGCGGACGTCGCTGGAGCTGCATCTGGCTACCGCCAGGAGCAGCAGGAGCAGTGGTAGCCACCGTAGCAGCAGCAGGAGCAATAGCAGTAGTCGCAGCGCGGCCACCCCTACAACCCCAACTAGCGTACCACTCACGAAGCTGTTGGGGGGCGAGGGACTCACGCGGACAGCGCTGGAGCTGCATCTGGCCACGCCAGGAGTAGCAGTAGCAGTAGAAAGAGCAGTAGCAGCAAGAGCAGCAGTAACAGCAGTACGGGCAGGTCAGTGCTCACCAGTGGCGAGAAGGGCGAGCGTACGACGGCGGCAATGGCGAGGCCGCTACCACTGTAGGGCGAGGGCTCCGCGGCAGCTGCAGGGGCGGCTGCTCCAGGGGCGGCTGCTGCAGGGGCGGCTGCTGCAGGGGCTGTCGCTCCAGGGGCGGCTGCTCCAGGGGCGGCTGCTGTAGTGGCGGCTGCTCCAGGGGCGGCTGCTGCAGGGGCGGCTGCTCCAGGGGCGGCTGTTGCAGGGGCGGCTGCTCCAGGGACGGCTGCTGCAGTGGCGGCTGCTCCAGGGGCGGCTGCTGCAGGGGCGGCTGCTGCAGGGGTGGCTGCTCCAGGGGCGGCTGCTGCAGGGGTGGCTGCTCCAGGGGCGGCTACTGCAGTGGCGGCTGCTCCAGGGGCGGCTGCTGCAGGGGCGGCTGCTCCAGGGGCGGCTGCTGCAGGGGCGGCTGCTGCAGGGGCGGCTGCTGCAGGGGCGGCTGCTCCAGGGGCGGCTGCTGCAGTGGCGGCTGCTCCAGGGCGCGGGTCAGGGCAGGGCGCCGCGGCGGGTAGGGGTGACGCCACGCGGGTCCCGCAGGGGCGTCGCGACGCGGCAGGGGCAACGGGGCGGGGCCGCGACTGGCGACGGGGCGGGGCCGCGAGTGGCGATGGGGCGGGGCCGCGACTGGCGACGGGGCGGGGCCGCGACTGGCGACAGGGCGGGGCCGCTACCGGCAGCGGGGCGGGGCCGCGAGGGGGCCGCGAAGGGAGCCGCGAGGGGGCCGCGAAGGGGCCGTGAAGGGGCCGCGAAGGGGCCGCGAAGGGGCCGTGAAGGGGCCCCAAAGGGGCCGCGAAGGGGCCGCGAAGGGGCCGCTAAGGGGCCGTGAAGGGGCCGCGAAGGGGCCGCGAAGGGGCCGCTAAGGGGCCGTGAAGGGGCCGCGAAGGGGCCGCTAAGGGGCCGCGAAGGGGCCGTGAAGGGGCCGCGAAGGGAGGCCGCTAAGGGGCCTCAGGAGCAGGGCAGGCCACTAAGGGGCCGCGAAAGGGTAGGGCAGGTCAGAGCGCGAGGCGCGTTTCGGGCAGGAAAAAAAAAAAAATGGTGGGCCCTTAGGAAGAAACGGTCCCACTAGGGAACCTGCTCTATACCATGTGAAAGAACGAGGAATGAATGCACTAGAAAACAGGTGGGTACAAGTAGGAAAACCTAAAAGAGTTGTACCCTATATTGTCAACCCCACTACAGCCTACATAGACTATAGCATATAAGTTTGACAGGGTCGTCATGGCATAGATGAGAATGGTCCTCACGGGAGTGGATGTGCCTCGCTGCCATCCTGAGGGCACCTTGTCTGTTGAGGGGGGGAGGGACGAACAAGGGGATGATCGGTTAAGGGTCAAGCTGACAGGGTGGAAAACCAATGGTGAAGGAGTTCATGGGGAGGTGGGGAAGGGAAGAGGGATGGGAGGGAGAGAGAGAAAAAGAAAGATCCATGGGCTGGGTTTTAGAAAACGAGAGATGGCAGTACGATGGGTCAATTGGCATTGATTCCTCCCCAAAGCCGTGGAACTAGCAGACTTCAAAGCCGTGGAACTTACCAGAACAGTTGGAAAATTCTACCACCCCCACGAAGAGAAGCAGTACCAGCAATCTGCAAAGGAGTTGGGGTGGAAGAACGTGGCAGAGCAAGTCACGAATCGTGAGACCAGGGGTGGGTGGGTGTAGATTCATTCAGGCAGGAGGGGCAGGGGGCGGATTGAACAAGAAATGAGAAAAAAAGGAGGCGTGAGAAAGCTCTGCAAAAACATCTACTGTCACACGCTAGAGGCTGCACAACAGCACACAGCGGCGCGCGCTAGATGACAGCTGGACGGGCTAGATGAAAGAGGCTGCGACACAGAAGCACAGAAGCTGCCATTGCACACAGATGCACAACTCCCAGCATCTACACAAGCACGTATCCATCCGCCCACGGCTTGAAACCAATGTCACACACCAAGATGACAGTCCAAAAGTGCTGTCACAGTGCTGGTTCGCACCACAGCTAATTATGTCGCATATCACTGGGTGGGGTAAGAGCCAGCTCTGGAAACACATGACCGAAGTGATGGCATGGCACTGGAGGCAGCACAGCAGCACTTGAAGGTAGCATCACTCACCATACTCGCAGTAGTTGCCGTTCCACCTGTAACCGTCGTCACAGTGGATCATGTTGACGCACGAGCTGCCATCCCACTCGGTGCCCCAGTCACACCGGATGGTGAGCATGCAGGAGCTGCCATCCCACGAGTAACCGTATTTGCAGGGGTTGATGCACGAGCTGCCATCCCACATGTAACCCGTCACACGCGCTGATGCACGAGTAGCCATCCCACTTGAAACCCCATTCACATGGGTTGACACATGAGCTGCCATCCCACTTGAAACCCGGGTCACAAGCAGGTTGGCTGCTGACGCATGTCCTGCCATCTGACTGCAACTCGAATCCCGGGTCACACACGCAGGTAGCCGCGTTATCAGCAGGAGCACACTGGCTGTTGGCGCCACAGTTCTGGATCTCACAGACACCTGGGTGGGGGGAGAGGCAGAAGAGAGGGGAGAGGAGGGGTGGAAGGGACATGGAATCAGCAGAATTGCACAGGAGCTACCGTAACACACAGAGTTGCACGCAGAATCGCACAGCAGTTTCATCACATACCAGTTCCACCCGCACACGCGCACACACACACACACACACACACAGCCATAGAATGAAGTGTGCGCTATAAGTGCACAACCGGCAAACGTACCAGTACATTGGCCCTGTGCCATGGAGTATCCAGCCTTGCACTCGCAGGTCGCAACGTTCCCAGCCTTGACACACTTGGAATTGGCGTCAGAGCCTTCACAGTTCTTCTTGATGCACATATCTGGGCGGGTGCAAGTGAATGCGTAACGAGAAGTGAAGGAAGGTGCGAAGATTTAAGAGAAGCGGCTCAAAAGCACATATCATCACGGCCGGAAGGAACACATTCTAGAAGTGGCAAAGAAGGCTTGAAATTTTTTTTCGCCGACCAGAACTGACGTTCCACATTCTAGAAGTGGCACCGACTCGATCAAGAGCTTTGAGAACAGTGCAGGTTGAGAGAGCTATGAGCATTGAGCGTCAATCATTGAGCACACGACAAGTCAATCAATAGCGTTGAGCACACAGCAAGTCGATCAATAGTGTTGAGCACACTGCACGTACCCGTAGCAATACACGTCCTGCCATCCGCCTGCAGTGCAAAGCCAGTGTCACACACACAGGATGCCACGCCAGTAGCGCTCTTGACGCACCGGCCGTCCACACCACAGCTCTGAATCTCGCAGGTGTCTGGGTGGTGGAAGGGTTGAGAAGAGAGGAGATGAGGGGTAGAGGAAAGTCAGAGAGAGTTTATGAACAGAGTAAAGAACAGCAGTTGCACACACTTCCACAGAATGTAGCACATACACACGCACACAGTTACATGCTCACGCACGCACTCAAGCTCATGCACGCGCACGCACACAAGTGCGAGTTGCTTGTGCCAGTGAAGCAGGTTGAGCACACGGTACATACCAGTGCAAGTCTTGCCATCCGCCTGCAGAGCAAAGCCAGAGTCACACACACAGGACGCCACTCCACTAGCGTCCTTGACACATGTGCCATTCAAACCACAGTTCTGAATCGTGCAGGTGTCTGAATGGGGGAAGGGTTGGGAAAGAGAGAGGAAAGGTAGAGAGGAGAGTCAGCAAGAAGTCACTTAACACAGAAAAGAACAGAAGATACACCCATTTCCACAAAATGAAGCACAGAAACATGCACACGGGCTCATGCACGCACACGCACACACATGCGAGTTGATCGTGCCATTATGGTAGGTTGAGCATACAGCAGGTTAATTACTACTGTTGTGCAGACAGCACGTACCCGTGCACGTCTTGCCATCCACCTGCAGCGCAAAGCCAGTGTCACACACACAGGACGCCGCTCCAGTAGCATCCTTGACACATGTGCCGTTCACACGACAGCTCCTAATCTCGCAGGTGTCTGGGTTGGGGGAGGGGTGAGGGAGAGAGGAGAGGAAGGTTGGCTTCAGCCCCTTGAAAGAAAGGTGAGAACTGCATACGCTATCACACGCACAGAGACACCCACACAAACCCACACACACACACACACCCACACACCCACACTCACACACCCACACTCACACACCCACACACCCACACACCCACACGAACACACACTGGGACCAGTGAACTTACCAGTGCATAGGCCATTTGCCATGGCATATCCAGACTTGCACACACAGGTCGCAAGGTTTCCTGCCTTGACACACGTGGAATAGTGGTCACAGCCTTCACAGTTCTTGATGACGTACACATCTGACATGAGCAGTGGAGAGGAGCAAACAAGGAGAAGTAAAAAAGATGTCAAAAAGAGGCTGTAGTGACTGGAAACTAAGAGGAGGGTCGGGAAGGATTTACCACCAGCAGCACTCCATAAGCAGCCACCAGCACAGCACACACCAGTAAGTAGATGCGGCTCAAAAGCACATAGCATCACGGGCGGAAGGAACACATACCAGTGCAAGTCCTGCCATCCGCCTGCAGCGCAAAACCAGTGTTACATTCACAGGACGCCGCTCCCTTAGCGTCCTTCTTGCACTGGCCGTTCACACCACAGTTTTGAATCGTGCAGGTGTCTGGGTGGGGAGAAGGGTGGCAGAGAGGGGGGAGGAGTGTTGAGAGAGGAGAGGAGGGGAACCAAGGAAAGGTGGGACCGTATGTTAAGTGAGAACGAAAACAAGGACACTCAGACACAGAAGGAAATGCAGGAACACGGACACATAACACATCACGTACCAGTGCAAGTCCTGCCATCCGCCTGCAGCACAAAGCCAGTGTCACACACACAGGACGCCGCTCCAGTAGCGTCCTTGATGCACCGGCCGTTCACACCACAGTTCTGAATCTTGCAGGTGTCTGGGTAGAGCAACAGGTGGAGAGAGGCGGAGAGGAGGGTTGGAGAGGAGAGGACAGGAACCAAGGAAATGAAGGTCGAGTGAGACCAGAAACAAAGACACTCAGAGACACAGAAGGAAATGCAGGCACACGCACACAAGCTGGGCCGAGCAAACGCACCAGTGCAAACGCCCGGCGGATTTAAGGCATATCCGGTGTTGCACACACAGGACGCCACACCGCTGGTCTTGATGCAAGCAGAGTTGGCATCATGGCCCTCACAGTCAGCGACCACACATATGTTTGCAAGGAGGGTCGGAGAGAATTAAACACCAGCGAACACTTCAAAAGCACGCACCAGCACAGGATCTTAAGTTTAGGTAATTGAAATTAACACCAGCAAGCATTTCAGAAACCAACACCAGTACAGCGCAGCACCCAAGCACGTGCAGGGCGTACCTTTGCACGTGTGGCCGTCAGGCTGCAAGGCGAAGCCAGGGTGGCAAGCACAGATCGCGCCGCCAGCAGGGCCCTTGCTGCACGTGGCGTTGACACAGTCCTTGAGCACACACGTGTCTGCACGTGCGGAGTGACACGAGCAGGTGAGGTGGAAGAAGGAGAGGGGAACAGGGAGAGAAGAGTAAGGCCAATGATGCGAGGGAAGATGAGAGTAGAGCAAGCAGCACAGCAGCAACAGTCAGAGGGCAGCAGGAATAGAGCACACAGCAGCAGGCTGTACAGAGCAGGGCGGAACCCAACAGAGCAGGGCAGCTCCCAACAGTAAGAAGGGCAGCACTGACCAACACAGCCGGTGGGCGTCATGGCGAATCCCGAGTTGCACACACACGTGGCGAGGCTGCCCTTCTTCACGCATGTGGCGTTGGCATCGCACACCTTGTGCGCGCATGAGTCTGGCGTGTGGGGGTCACGGATGGTGGATAGATACAGAGCAATGCACACACTGAACACAAGGCGTTGGGATCGCACTGAACACGAGGCGTTGGGATCGCACACCAGTTGCGCGCACGAGTCTGCAGAGTGGGCCCAATGCAGGCAGGGTGACATTCGCCGATGGTGGGTAGATAGACGCAGAGAAATGCACACACGGTGGAGTGGATGGAAGTTGGCAATGACCAGAAACGAGCACGTGGAGTGCACGTGGATTAGTCATCTGGCTTCCCTAGGGGCAGCACTAACAGGCGCAGGAGGCGTGCGGCACTTACGGGCTTGCGCCACTTCGCTGGCGTGCGGCACTTGGCTGGAGGCGGCAGTACGGGCACAGCCGCTCTTGAGGCACACGCAGTCGGCCGAGCCCGCTTTGTCCTTGACGCATCTCGAGTTGCTGCAGCAATTGCGCAGCACACACGTGTCTGGAGCAGGCAGGTGACACGTGGAGGACACACGTGATGCAAGCACGTGGCACATGCAGGCATAAGGGAGGCACATGCAGGAGCAACCGAGGAAAGAGACTCTGGATTTGGGAGCCTTGGAACGAAGCAGACCAGTTGGCATTAGGGAATACAAAAAGCAAGTCATGCAGGAATTTCTGAACGCAGGCGAAGCAGTCACACGAGAATTCAAAATGCTGGAAAGCACGCAGAGAGGTGGACTATCAATCAATGCAAGGAGCGCTTGATAGATGGGTGACCCACCAGCGCAGTTGCCTTTCGCGTCCCTGCCCTGGCCCCACTTGCACGGCCCATTCGATGGCTGCCCGCGGATGGCCTCCGCCATGGGCGCACAGGCTGGCGCGCAGGGGGGAGGGGGAGACGGGGAGGGGGGGAGGGGGAGGGGGAAGATGAGGAGGAGAGGAAGGTAAAGAGGACAGCAATTGCAAGGGTGGAGAGTACAGAAAAGTTCTAAGAGCGTGAGAGCATACTTGAGAGAGCATGCGAGCATGGGAGCATACCTGCGAGCATGAGAGCAGCCAGTGCAGTGAGCACGAGGCCACGCGAACCCATCATGCTGATGCTGCGGATCCTGATGACGAGTCTGGTGCCGGTGATGGCGCTGGTACTACAGCTGATGATGTGCTGATACGGATGATGTGCTGATACGGCTGATGATGTGCTGATACGGATGATGTGCTGATACGGCTGATGATGTGCTGATACGGATGATGTGCTGATACGGCTGGTGATGTGCTGATACGGCTGATGATGTGCTGATACGGCTGATGATGTGCTGATACGGCTGATGATGTGCTGATACGGCTGATGATGTGCTGATACGGCTGATGATGTGCTGATACGGCTGATGATGTGCTGATACGGCTGATGATGTGCTGATACGGCTGGTGACGTGCTGATACGGCTGGTGACGTGCTGATACGGCTGGTGACGTGCTGATACGGCTGGTGACGTGCTGATACGGCTGGTGACGTGCTGATACGGCTGGTGACGTGCTGATACGGCTGGTGACGTGCTGATACGGCTGGTGACGTGCTGATACGGCTGGTGATGAGCCAGCGGCAGTCCCTCCGAGGAAAAAGGGGAGTCGGCTGGGAAGAACAAACTTGCAATGAGACGACGCGCGTGAGACGGGCCGCGTACTTCAGACTATCGTGAAACAATCTGGGAATAAAACTGGGTTTGCCGCGCAAAGTAGGGGTGGTAGCCCTTTCGAGTGGGTGATTCGCAAGCGCTACTGGCGATACTCTATGTGGTAATGAGCCGCAAGCACGGCTTTTATACTATGCGACGGACTCCCGCCATCCTTCCCCCTTCCCTTCTTCCCCTCCTTCCCCCCTCCCTTCAGAACCCTCCCCCTGAGAGGCCTTCCCCTTATGTACCGCCGGGACCAGACCCCAAAGCTCATGGCACCCCTCAACTGCGCTAGCACTAGCAGTGGTGTCCGCCTATCAATTCGCGATGAAAGCATTTTCTCTGCGGATAAAGCTTAACCTCCGCCGGTTCGCGCATCGAACGGGAGGGGGGGAACTTCCTGGTGGGAGGCGGAAAGTTGACCATCGGCGGCGCGTACTTCCTGCGGGAGCTGGCCGGGTTTGGAAGCTACAACGAGGCTTTTCTCCCCCGCCGGGCTTTCTTCCCTCAGCTATAACTTGCGGAAGGCTGGACGACTTGGAAACGGAATGTGCGCCGCTAGCGCGCGGAAAAGCAGGCGCGCGCCTCTCCGCGCAGGCGCCGCCGAACGGCCAGCGAGGCATACTTCTGGCTCTGCGTGGATCTTGAAGACGTTAAGACGACTCGTGTGTGAGCCAGCGAGACATATTTCTGGCTCTGTGTGAGTTCCGCCGTGTGAGTCTTGAGAATACTATAGTACTACTATGTACGGCGTGGGCCAGCAAGGCTTCACTCCCTCCAAAAACAGAGGCTCGAGTGGCCAGCAAGCCACGGCAAAGGCAGGCTGGATCCACTAACGACACATCCCCCTTGTCGGTTAGCTTGACAACGGTGCGGGTCTATCTGGAGTACGATAATGCGTCATTGAAACTCGGCTTGTCGCCTTTCACGCCGCAAGCGATCCAGCACGGCAAAAACAGGTTGAGTTGAGATAGCTTGTGAGGAGTGTGACCCTGTCTCTGTCGGACTCTAGATACAGTACGTTTAGAGAGAGACAAAGAGATCGATATTGGCGGCGCGGGGAATGCTTCCTGAATTTCCTAAGTAGCTTCAAGAAACCGCGCCGCGACACCTTCCTTGGTCGAAACTCGGGCTCAGTCTAATTTATTAGCCTATATTTGCGCAGTCGTGTATTGCGGAAAAAAATCTTCGTGTGAAAATGCATCTGACAGACGTGCGCCATGGGGTGGAGGGTTGTGTCGTGGTGGGCAAGTTCTGCGCTGTCTTTTTTGGGGTGGAGGTCTCTCTGTTGGAATACGTGCGAGCGTGTCGCGCCCGTACGTTCATCTGAAACTGATTTGTCCCTCATCAGCAATAGCGACCTCTGAAGTGTAGGCCGACGGCCGAGGTCCAGCAGTGCGTGGTTTAGGGGGTGTCCGAAGTGAAACGTCGACATCCGCTGACATCCGTTTGGGGCTGTCGATGAATATCAGCCCTCGGATCGAGGATTCCAACCGTCAGGATTCGCCAACATCCGCCGAATCCATCGACGTTTCACTTCGGACACGCCCTTAAGAAACGTGACGCGCGAAGTGGCGAACACCGTTAACCAGTAACGGACGAAAAAACGGTCAGACTTGTACGCGTTGCTGAGGTGTGCAAAAAGGCGTGTCAAGAAAATTCCCTACACTGTTGAAAAAAATAGACGTTTTCCACTCCAAAAGAAGTCGGATTACTTTACAACGCGTAGGTACAACCCGAACCCTGAAATACAAAACCACTTGGGAGGTGTAAGGATTCACAAACAATTACTGTAGCACTCCCTAGCGAGTACAACCACGTGGGCCGCGCGACAATCACAACCCTTCCGAACTGTTGGAAACAATCGGTCCTAAGCGCCTCTGTCGTGTCGAAACACTAAGACACAAAAGAAACGAAGTATAACGAATCACCGGCGAGTCAACCCTCGGAGGTTGAAAGTAACTGTTGGAGGTTACGCGAAAGTCAAAGGTCAGCGACCTTTGACCTGACAAAGTACAGCGCGACAGCAAGGACAAACAACTGACTCGGTATTGAGCAGTTGCCCGAGTCGTCACTGTATCGAACCGCAACAGCAATAGTAAAACGGTTATTAACTGTATCTCTTCGCATTCCTTGTACTCTAATAAAAGCTTGTATCTCTTTGTTTTAATCAACTTACTTTGCCCTCACATACTAGCGCAAGGTGGTTCACAACTCTTTAATTAACGCTTCCACTACTACACCAACTCTACCCAGAGTTCACCCCTGCAAAGATCCTAAGGGTTTTTCAGCCCAACATGGTATGAGAGCTATCAGGGGGAATTCAACTTCTATACCGACAACATCAACAAGCATGGCTACACAAAAGGAAAGGAGCAACTCCAACGGCTCCCAGGGCACTACTCCTACTCCACCTCCTGCCTCTGGCCTACAGACAGAGGAGGGCACAGCAACAAGACCCAGAGCAACATCTACCGAGACTCCCGCGAATCAACCTGCAGACTTCGACCAGAGCATGATGGAGAAGTTTTTCTCCTTCATGTCCTTCTACGAGCAACACCAGCAATCGGCACCTGCGCAGTCACACAACAGCAACAACAACGGAGCAACACCCATGAGTCTCGAGGGCTCATCATATGCACGAGGAAATCAACAACAGCAGCCTACCTTTGCTCCGTACGAGCGCGGGTCTATCAGCTTTATGCCACACCCACAGCCTTCACCTGGACAAGAAAAATCACTGGACGCATTACAACTTCAGTCGCAGTTCGCACACGTTCTGAAGATGCAGACGTCAAGACCCTTCGATGGAAAGGACTTCTTCACCTGGTCGTTCGAGTTCGAGCTGATGATGGAAGGCGCGCAGATACTCGGGTTCTTCGACGGGTCTCTGCCATACCCAACAAACGGCACACAGTACGAGAAGCAGCAGTACACCTATCAGTCAATGATGGCGTACACGATCCTACTGAGGAATATCACCCCGACTCAACAGCAGAACATAAGGTCTTACCGAGGTTACGGCAACTCCGCGGAGCTCGCGTACAACCACCTGAAGAGCCTGTATCAAGCAACAGACAGCGTAAGCCAAAGTCGGTTAATGGCGCAACTGACAACGGTTGAAATGAAACCAGGGGAGAAAGGAATGGCGTATATCAGTCGATGTCGCGAGTTGCGCGACAAGCTTCTTCGATGCGGAGGGTCGATCTCTGAAGACGCCTTCGTGACAGTCATCATCGGCGGCCTCGGTCCTCAATGGCGCGCCACAAAGGCCATTCTCCGAGCTCACGGAAGAATCTCTGAAGCAGCGCTCTGCGCCAAAATCCACGCCGAGCAGCAAGACATGGACCTGCAAGAAGAACGACACAAAAAGAAGACATCAGCACCGGAATTCGCGTTCCACACTCAGCGACGCTACAACAACAACAACAACCGGCAGCAACAACCGAAGCCAGTACCTCCGTTCTGCCACATCTGCAAAACTTCAGGACACCCGCGTACGCACTGCCCAGATCGTCAACAGTCAACAACTCCACAGCGGCAACTTCGACCTTCAAGCAGCCAAATCGCCTCAACGCAAGCAAATCCCACGACCCAGATTCAAGCCTCAACGACTTCAACGGGACAATCTGCACAAGGAGCAAGAAACATCGTCAGCTGCATGGCAAAGCTGAGTGACTCCTGCATCACCGAGTCACCACCACACTACTCACCGGAAGAACAACTCGACGAAACCACACCCCGCCGCGAGTCACTTCAGCCGAACCCGACATACGCCGCCATCGCCCAAAGCGAACCATCCGGAAAGGACACATGGTTCTTGGACAGTTGCTGCGGACAGCACATGTGCTCCTCGGGACGCTTCGTTCAACGAGAACACCAACTTCAACGCGAAGTTGTCATTACAGTCGCCAACAATCATAACCTGCGAACACGACGACAAGGCGTAGTTCAACTTCAGTCAAGGGAAACAAACGTTATACTGCAGATGTCAAAAGTACTAATCGCGGAGGGACTCGGCTACAACTTACTGAGCGTCAGTCAGCTAATGGCGAAAGGGATTCACCTCGAAGCAGATAGCACCACCCAAGAATTCAAGCTGTATCACGGGAGAGGAGGACTTTACACCGGCAAGGCGGTCCTCAAGAACAACGTCTTCGTTCTTGATTTCGTTCCTGATCTTGGCACCGCCGACAGCGACGCCATCGTTAACTTCACCAACTGGACACACCCTCCAGACCTTGATCCAGACTTCAGTCCAGAAGGCTTCTGGTATTCACACACCATCCCTGAAGCAGAAAGAACAAGGGCGTTAGCAACAATTCAGACAACATCAGCAGCAGCAGAGACAATATCGGCAGCAGCAGAGACAACATCGGCAGCAGCAGAGACAACATCGGCAGCAGCAGAGACAACATCGG